ATACAGTTAAAAAACAAAACTAATGAATCTCTGTTGAATCAGGAAACCTTTTAGAATTTAGCCTATAACACCCTATAACAAGATGACAAAAATGTACCAATATACAGACTATGAGACTTCTGGGCCCCAATGTGAAATTTCTTCTTTTATGTTACTGTAAAGAAAACCTTATTTCGTAGGTTGCAAATGTATACACATTATTAAACAAATATTCCATTTCTAGGCATATTTTATTCCCATTGATCACTTGTATGAAGGCTTTGAAAAAAGATTTCCTGTCCTGAAACATAAAATGTGGCAAAAAATTGGACTTGCTATCGCGGCCCAAAAACTCAGAGAACACATATCTTTTGAGGTAAGACAGATGTGTGTCCTCCCTCAACAAAACTGTATTAAGATACTGATAGAAACTTACTGAATTTACAGTAAGCACTTTGTGAACAAATAATAGACTATGAAATTGTGCTTTTCTTAAAGGACTGGAACTACAAGATGCAGTTAAAGCTCTGTAATGCTTTTATAAAAGATATACCAAAGGCCACAAAAACTGATATCTATGATGAGACCATAACCCACGTTATCCTCATACATGGATCTGCAGAAGACTGTCAGTTGCGAAAAATTTATAAGGCACCTTTTTTAATTCCTGTAACATGCCATCGGGTAAAGAAATATTGACTCATGTCTTTGGATCAATATGCCTTGTATCCAACAATGTATTACAGCAGAAAAACCGTCACTATGATCAGGCTTTTCACCTTCTCAACTCCTTCATTCCCCCACCCCACCACCCAATAACCAGTTACCCACACCTACATATACAGTGTTTATTTGTTGCATTGATAATCAATGGCCTAAACACAACAAAGCTTGCCAAGCTGTACAACTGTGTCCATAGCTAGATTTTATCTTAGTTGTTCTTAGTAAAAGAACTCATTAATTTCATCCATTTATTGCAGAGAACTGTATCAATAGTGCTCTAAAAGGTTCTGCTAAGCCTGACTGAATTGAGTGGCAGTAAGCAGTAGTTTCCCCTGGCTTCTTTGACAATGAATGTGAAGAAAAAAAAGAATATTTTCTCATATTTGAACTGTTAGAAGTTCAAAAGGAGAGCCTGAGTCAGATGTAAAATTAAAGAAGAAAAACATTGTGTGTGTGCGTCTGTGAGAGAGAGAGAGAGACAGAGACAGAGACAGAGACAGAGAGACGGAGACAGACAGAGAGACTGTACGTTTGTGTATGGTGGAAAGTACAAGCGGCGTATACCCATGGGATTTGGGAGGACATATACAATACACCCACAGAAAGTGAATTGGGAAGAGGGACCCAGAATCAGTTCAACTAGCTTCAGATACAATGAAATCCTTTTTTTAAAAATCTTTTTGAGACAGGGTCTCCCTGTAACCCCAGGTGGCCTGGAACTCACAGAGATTCACCTGCCTCTGCCTCCTGAGTGCTGGGATTAAAAGTGTGCGCCACCACACCCAGCTAATGAAATCCATTTTTAAGATGCTGCTATATGACAGAAATAGTGCTAGAACAGTGAAACGAGAAAAACAAATGAGACTTCTGGGCTATCAAGTCCTCTCCCAACCAAGCAAAAAGAAACAGGTATATGTGTATATTAATAGTCAACAGCTGTGATGGAAATACTTCCTAGATAGACTCAGGACACAAGAGAGAAAGGCAAAGTGGAATGTAGCTTCTCTTCCTCAGCTCAGCATCAGGGTTTCCTGCCAAGGGAATTTTTATTTTTTAGTTAGGGAAATGTTCAACTGCTGTCAGGCAAAAGCCAAAAGCCAAAAGCCAAAAGCCAAAAAAGCTGTCAGACAAAGGAAAAATTTCATTCCAGCTATTTTAGCAGTTTCCTTGATTGGTGTGAACTGAAGGCTGTTTATAAAGGATCTGCTAGTCTATATCTTCAGAGCACTACTGGAGATCATATCAAATGAATTTATCACCCTAGATATAATCCATTCTTGAGTGGCATTATTTAACAAGTATTCTGACAGTGTGTATGAACTTAGTATCATTAATTTTAAGAAGGTGTATTTTATGTTGGTTGAGTTTCTTCCAAATAGAGAGCTGGAATGAAAGAAAGATCCTAAACTTAATGAGTGATTTTATTAATAGAACACTGCAGTACCAGTACCTTTATTATTACATTATTTTGTTGGTGCTCCTCTTTTCATTCTCTGTGATCTCAATACAGCTTATTCTTTGCACTTACTGATTCAATTACTTCTTGACACAATATGGCCTGTGAGTATTTTTGTCCCAACAGCCAGCACCTGTGTGGAAATCATGGCTGGACAAGAAAAGCTCCCTTAGGACTGATGGCCCTGAGTTCCAGTGACCCACAAGATGGACTTTCACACTCAGAAGCTCACAGCACTGAGCTTTGAGAACCAGGGGCTTCATAGTCCAAGCTCCCAAACCTGGAGACTTTTTGTGGCTAGGTCTTTGAGACAGAAGCTTACTGCTCTAAGCTTGGAGAGCCAATGCTCATTAGTTAAAGCTACAGCTCTTGGGTTCTGGGCATCAGGACTCTGAGCTCCTTAACCTGGTGACTGTCCTCAGTTCTAGCAACTAGAGATCACAGCTCTCGTGGTTTCAACTCCTGCCTTTTCACAGCCTCTGGTCTTTTCAGTGCTTCTGTCCTTCATCTTGCCTTCTTTTGGTTTTGAACCTTGGTAGCTCAGGAACTCTTCAGTGTCTTCCTTGCAGCTGCCACTGCCATTGCCAGAATTGGGAGCCTCGGGGGCCTATCTATTCCTTGTGCAGTTAGCCCTGCTGGCTGTCCCTCGACTAAAGACCACAAGCAGGCAGAGACCATTTGGACCTAATGCTGTGACACGAAAGGATAGTATACAGGAGAGAGCCTCCCAGACAAACCTTAAAACAATACAAGTTACTGCCATTGCTCTTACCTGACTGCCAGAACTCAATGGGAAGACTTCATTGCTGAAGACACTTTAGTCACTGGAAATGGATAAATCAAGTGGTACTGACAAGAAGTTTCCTCCCTACTGACTAGCTTTCATAGCACTGGAAGATGCTATGCTGGCTGCTGGGGGAGGAATATCATCAATAGTCTTATCTAGCTGTGAATCTGTGGACTACAATAGTGACCTGTGTGGCAAGATAAGTCCATGGGTGCAATAATGGCAAGAATGTTATAGCATAACCAGTCTTTCTGATTGAATTTAAGGCCTGCTCCACAGGAGGAAACACATACCTGTAAATATGAACTATAATCCATGGCAGGGGAGCTCATAGGTCCCAGGGGTGAATATACACTATTCTGCTAAATAGACATCTAGACTGTTTCCATGCCCTAGCTATTATAAATAGAGCATCAGTGAACATGGATAAGCATGTATTTCTGTCATAGGAAGTAGAATCCTTTGGGTATATACCCAGGAATTGTATAGCTGGGTCATATGACAGATTCATTTGTAGTTTTTTGAGGTACTGCCCTACTGATTGTCAGAATGGCTGACCAGTTTATACTCCCACCAACAGTGCCTAAGTGTTCTCCTTCCCTCACATCCTCACCAGCATAAGTTGTCTTGTGTTTTCTTAATCTTAGTCATTCTAATTGTGGTAAGAGGAAATCTCCAAGTAGTTTTAATTTACGTTTCTCTGACTAAAGATGATGACTACTTTTTAAAAATTGTTCTGACATTTGTATTTCTGAGATCTCTCTGATCAGTTTCATAGCCCACTTTTTAATTGTGTTGTTTGTTTTCTTTTGTTTAGGATTTTTTTGTTTTTCTTTGTATATTCTAGATAAGAATGCTCTTTCAGGTGTATAGTCAGCAAAGACTTTTTCCTATTTTGTAGGTTGCCTCTTCACTCAAATGTTGATGTACTTTGCTGTATAGAAGATTTCAATTTCATGAAGTTCTACTTGTTGCTTTTTGGCCCCATTTCCTGTGAAGTCAAGGTCTTATTCAGAAAGTCCTGACTTGAGCCTCTGTCTTGAAGTGTACTTACCCACTCTTTCCTCTAGAAGGTTCAGAGTTTCATGAAGCTCTAACATTAAGATGGTGGATGCATTTGGAATTGACTTTGTGCAGGCTAAAACATCAGGATCTAATTCCATTCTTCTACATGTAGCTATCCAGTTTGACCAGAACCATTTGTTAAAGACAATGTCTTTTTTCCAATGTATGTGTTTGGCCCCTGTTAAAAATCAGGTGGCTGACTACTATCCTCAGGCCTCTTGGGGTAAGTCTATAGCGCAGCTCTCTGCGCCGTGACTCCCTAAGCCTCATTCACCCTTCCACCCCACCCCCCACTCCCCTGCCTCCCGACCGCTGTTCTATACTCTAGTTTGGACCCTGTGCCATTCCTAGTCTTGGGGCCCCAGACACCTGGGGAACCAATACTGTTTCCTGATCCTTCTCACCCAGAGCAACTCAGGCCCTTTCTTGGGCTCCAGGAGCACCGCTTCTGGTCCTG